CGCTTTCCTACTAAACATTTCTAACTAAATCCCCTGTGAATCGTAATAAAAAATTCTCCGAAATTATAGTTTGAACTCGTTATTAAATGGTGGCGCGTTATCCTACGGGCAAAAAGGGGCAATTGCCTGGGGGTCCGTGGAATGACCATGAAAATTTCTTTTATAAAAATCCTAGATCCATTAATGACAAAAACCTCTATCTTAGTAGGATTAGATAGAAACAGTAGGATAGTAGGATCTTCATCTAACTTCAGCTCTAGTGAAAAACTATGCTCCGAATGTAGTAGAAACCTCAAAACACTACATAAAATAGTAGATTTATTTCTTTTATTAATGTTAGTAGAATCTCTTTAACACCTACTAAAACTAATTTAATTAGTATAGCATTTTATTATTGTTAATAACAGAACTAGATCTAAGTTACGGCTTGTATAGAGGTTTCTATTGTTTCCTAATACCGTAGAAACCTCCAAACCATAACGGGTTAAACTCGATAAAGGCCTACCTACCTCTCTACAGTATAAACCTAGTAGGAAAACCTCCGTGGATAGTAGGAAACCTGTACACTTTGAGCTTGGAAGTTTATTATTAACATAAATTACATTAAAAATCGACAGTAGACTTTAATACCGGCGATAACAGAGATTATCGTATCCTTTAGTGATTTTTCTACCTACATTCCTACTAAGAAATTCCCCGAAATACCCATTAATTAGTAGTTTGCAACTAAGTGGATAGTGGCTACTACCGATCCCCCCTTTCTACAGGCACTACAATGAAGTCCATTGTGTCGTATTTTTAAAGTTGCAGATAACTCGCCACGTTCTAAGTCTCATTATCTCGAAAGGAGTCACACGAGCGTCAATTAATCGAAATTATCACGTTCATTGATTTTTGCCACGCGGAAGACGATTATTATCGCGTGTTAATCTACTCAATTATCGCTAAACAATTCGGTTTAACGCTACGAATGGCGTTAAAACGAAGCATAACACCGGAGTCGCGCAACCCACACCGGTGACTTTTCTTGTTTGTGGAGAGGGGGAGCGTGTCCCGTGACGTAATTCGCGCCCCCCTCGTAAACGACAGGGGGAGGAAGAGCGGGGATTGACGACACTTTACCTTATGAAAGAGACGTCGTCGTATCTCCAACAGCGAAGGAGGTGATTAACCGGAATGTTCACGCATCTACGAGAATATATAATGCAGGATTACTGCATTGTCGCCATTGTTTGTGTCGCAATATTACTTATCTGAAGACATCAATTTCTGGTTTGATGGCGAGACGACCAGAAAAGGCATGTGCCAATATGACGCGTAACTTTACCCCCGAGTCGATAATAAGGTATCGTTTGAAAGGCATTTATGTTAAACCCTCGTCTTAAGGTGGTGTTTGTTTAACGAAAAAATTACCCCCCTCATTCCGGACAATCACTTTCTTATGCCGTAATGATGGGGATTAGTAGGACGTGTCGCGTATTTCCCCCGTGTTTCCCCTAAGTACTAAAACTCTAACACTTATAAAAGATGTGTCTGTATTTCAGACGTGTTTCGAAAGGTGTTGGCACGTTAATAAGTTATTAATGTGTTAATATTTTTAAAAATGCATCCCTAAATTGAAAGTTTAAAGACTATTTTCGGGGTTGTAAACATTAAAGTGCTGTATTTTGGGAGGCATAAACACGGGAATGCTCTATTTTGTTACGCGCTAAACACAGAATTGTATTTTTAAATTGTTCTTCACTTGTATATATTTAATATATTCGCGTTGTTGCTGGTGAATAACACACTTATTACTGGTGTGCGCGCAATGGTAGTGTTAAAGGTGTTCGAGACGTCAACACGAGCATCGGTAACTACTTCAGTCGATATCTATGAATATTTTACTTAATCCAATCTGTGTCTAGGTCCATATTTGCTATCGCCGCGCCCTAATTATTTAAGCTAATTCTTTAGTAAAGTCAATTTATGTAAATGCTAAATTACGCGATTTTGTGTGCAATAATTGCAAAAAGTGAAGGCATTTTAATAAATTTATTGCACTGGTTTATATGAACATAATTTTTTAATAGGGGATGCTTTAAATGTTCAAAACAATAGCCTTAAAAGTCGAGCGCGATACACCTGTCGCAAACCGTCGCATCGTCTCGCGTTTAAATTATGCATAACTTACGTAAGGAAGTAATTATATTATTAAATACTACATACTAATGAATGAATAGATTCTTGTATGCAATTATTAATACACTGTTTTTTAAAGATAACATTAATATTGCATATAATCTACTTTCCGCTCAACATTCTCTTAAATGACATCTCAATCTATTTGAATAACGAAGAAATTTAGAGAAAATAAGACTAAAACATTCATTAAAATGATGTCGTTTCCCCCTAATTTCAACTGAAATCGAATAAATTAGTCGAAAATACTCGCGTATTTCTGTATCTGGCATTTAATACCACGCTTCGTCGTATAACCCTCAGTCCCGTTCTCCAGAAATAGGATTAACGTGGCAGATTACCCCGCAGAAATCGTTATTCGTACATTTAAAGTGGGCCTAAATAGGCCTGGTAAAATTCAGAAGGCATTCTCTTTCTTAATGTTACCACACTTCATCTAAATCTTGCGTAGAAACTAGGCTTATTATTCAATATCTACCTCGCGCACCCCCGTAATAAGTCTATCGTCGTTTAAACAAATGAAGAACATTGACGATACAAAAGATAAGTATTATTTTTGTTTCTACGCGTAGGCCTCTGTCCGAATATCTAGCGTAAACTTGTTCGTCCCCATAACTTACCATACCCCTCTACTCGTCAGCCTTACCTAATCTAGTCTTTATCATTTACTAATTGAGCCTATATGTAGCCTATAGGTTCAATATAGAAGCGTAAGACGTTGGGCCTACTTCTAGAACACGCCATTGTTTACCTTCTAGTAGCATCCCTTCAATAGTAGTAGTAGATCATAGCAGATGCGTGCTAGAACTCGTGATGCTGATATGATATTCGACTACTAACAATAATATTGATGCTCTTATACTAACATTAATGCTACTAAGTATACATATGCCTTTAACAGTAGAGTATTGACTTTTGAATTGAAATAACGTGACTTCCAGTTTACATTAGAAGTTCGTATGTAGTTAATCGGTGCCTCCTGCCCTTAAGCTTTCCATCTATCTAACTTCATTGTCGAGATTAAGGAAAGACGGTGGCAATTTATAGATATACAGTTTTGCAACCCAACGATGCTACTACTAACCTAGTAATTTTCATACCAACTGTAGTATTAATGGAGTTTTTATTCTAATTTATATCAAATAAAACATGTAAGACAGCATAAAATGTGATTTACGCCCCATTCCTTTTGAGTTTAATTCATAAAAGATACCCGATACTAACGCCTTTAATGCTTTCTTTCGAGTTATAAATTCATTGGTAGGCTCTACGGCATCGATAATGCCTCGTATAATGTTTTTTTTTCTAAGAAATGCACTTGCGGAAGAACTGCACTTTATATTCGTGCAAAGATATTTTGCTGCGTGCGAGCAGTTTTTGCAAATTTAGGAGATTTCGTTAAGTAAATTATCGCGTTGTACGGACAATACGAAGCGTTGTGGTGTTAATTTACCGTCTTTAGCCGTAGAGAAACGCCCCGAACAACAAATATTGCAAGAATTTAGTGTGTTTACTTGCGTAAGATGTGCAACTGGGTGCAATATCGTTGATGTAGTAGTTAATTAAAAAAGAGGTAAGATATTGTTGCTTAAAATGTCAGTAATCGTGCGGTGCGCGTTAGTTTTAAAACAATTTTTCTTCATTTACGAGATCGTTAAGGTGGTGTAGACGTTAAGTTATAAAATTGAGATTAAGGAGAGGAGTAAAGTGTGTCAACTTTTATAGTCGACCACCTGTGACACCTCACTCTCTTTTAATGCGCTAACTTAGAAAGATTAGAGGATCCCCAACTGTTGCCAGTCTCTTACGTGATTTACACACCGCGTGTTGAGAAACTCTCCGTTTACTCTGTACGTCGTTCTGTTCAACCTTCCTCGCTTACAGTCTGTAAGCCTCAAGACCTATCTACGTTTTTTAATACGCGTATTGCACATCTATTTAAAATCTTCTCTGCACATATATTTAGAACCTTTTCTACAGTCTGTAAACACGTTTTCTTGTGGAAAAATTATCTATTTTTATAGTCCAAATATTGCCTATTCTATATTTACAGTTTATATGTTGTAAACCTTTTTCTACTTACAGTCTGCACGATAATAACTCATTTCTTAACCGCATACTAGAAGCCTCTTCTATACTTTGAGATCCTTCTTTGTTTAAACTATTATTACCATCCTATTCTCTGCTTAATTTGCAAGTAAGAATGACTATTCTCCGACATTCAAAGATGCTCCGGAGCAAACTGTGTGTGGTAACAACGAATTTTATACGTTTAAAACATGTTTTGTGTACAAATTCGTATAAAAATGGAGTTAAAGTATAATTAAAATCATTAGAAAGAAATTAAAATAGATTATTTAATTAATTCCACTTAAAATTTACTTAAAACTTTAGTATAAAGCCTCGTAACGTGGCGCAATTCCTTCTAAATCTTTTAATTTACCGCATTAACACAGGTACGAACACCGAGAGCGAACATCAAACCATAAAATTAACTCATTAAAGAGCGGAAAAAACGGGGATTACGGCATAAAAAACCAGCCAAAAAACACATTATCCGATTAATTAGCATGGCTAATGAATTTTAAACGCATTTAATTGCCAAATAAACACCATTAGAAAGGCATTAATTATATGTTTTTGAATCTCTCTCCCCGGACAGACATTCTAACAGCTACCGAGAATAATAACAAGTTGGCATGCGATACTTTAATATATAAAAAATTCGATATTAAAAAGTACCGGAAGAGGAAGTGACGTTTTTTAAGTTTTATTTTTTGAAAGAAAAAAAAAGTAAAGCGCTAACGCATATTACCTACCTGTTACGCATGGGTTTGTTAGTAGTTGGGTGCAGAAGGGATGAGATTCATCGCTCGGTGTCGAGGGACGAGTGCCGGGGGTGTCCAATGCTATTAAAGTGAAGGAGTCGATGTGAAGCGGGTGAGAAAAAGCGCCCCGCTGCACCTCCTCCGTTCTATAGGAATATCCCAGACGTTTGACGTCACAAGTAATCTAACGAATTACAGAGATTTTCACTGGTTGGCGGGAACGACGCAAATCCCTTTTTGAAATTTTCCGTAAACCCTCGCTCTATAGGTCGATATAGTTAGCCATGTGTAATAATTTACTCCGACACGGTCGGGAGGAAATTGCTTTTCCTCTCCATTTTCTTTGTGAATTTTATATATTTTTTTATAGACCGAGCGCGTAAAATCTTCTTGAAATATTTTTTCTTACTACGCCGAGTGTTTATTTTTATTCTTTTCTTAAAAAAAAGAATTACTCGTTTCACTCGGAGCGTTTAACGCGCGACTTTTAAAATGGCGTATGATAAAAAGAAGTTAATTAATTACAATTTTTTTTTCTAATTTCGTAAGGGGGCGTTATATTTAGTTCGCATTATTATCGTTAGATGGCGACTGTATCGATCGGCTCCATTATCATTTTTTTGTTTTAATATTTCACGCTCTTACAACCATTAAAAATGAATTTTTCTTTAATAATTAGGATTAAAAAGCAAACTGTATTTTTAAAAATATTTTTTCGGCAATTTCAATCTGTTTTCCTGCTAAATAAGCCTAAAGTCCCCTATCGGAAGATAAAGTATTGAAAAGTAAACGAAATTAATCGGTAAGAATTATTATTATTTTTTTTAATTTTATAAAATGAAATAAAATAATTTTTGCGAAAATAATTTATTTTATTTAAAAATGTTAAAATCTTTAAAAGTATCGTCTGCAACTGATGATGCAGTAACCATAGCAACGACTGTTTAATCATGTCACCATCTTGGACTTCCAGCATCTTTATCGGCATTTAGACAAATTTACTAATCAAACACTTTAAATTAAAAGTTGAAAAATGTTAGAGTAAACTTTTTAAAATTAAGAAATTAAAGCTCATAAAAGCTTTAATTTCTTAATTTTATAAAGTTTACTCTAAAGTATTTATGTATTTAAGTGATGTTTCTTAGTTGATGATGAAACTTTCCTTACTAGAACTTAGTTAACAGAGAATTTTGGCAGGAAACTTTTAAAATTTAATTAATAAACATCAAATTATCAATTAAGAAACTTGCAGGTATAATATTAATAAGTTAAATATTTAAAAAAAAACAAGAATAAAGTCTGTAAAGATGATGAAACATCAGGAAGATGATGACCATGAAGCATAATTTATCACTTATGAATGATATTTTATGTATTAAATTGATTGTAAATTGTACAGATTATCAATTTAGGTTGCTGCTGCATCTTTTTCTTAACTAAGCTTGCTTTTCTCTCTCTGTAACTTTCGGTGTTTATCGCATCGAAGGTCTCTTAAGGCCGAGTTCGCCAACAGAGTTGAGAGTCAAAGTTGAAATCAATCAGTCGGCATTTGTTTTACTTTTAGTACACGAGTTCCGATCGGTCGACTTCGTCTGTCAACTCTTTGTAAGCGAATACAGTGGTTGAGACTACTGTTTACTTTTTTGAAATTGTAGTATATAGAAAAGCATTAAAAGATTTGAGAAAAACAGACTCTTTTCTTAATACACACAAGAAACATAATTTGGATTGCCACTTTTAGATTTTCTAAGTAAAGGACAACGATGATAATATGAATGTGGAAAATTATGTGTTGGGAAAACCCCAGTTTAATATGCCACAGGTGAAAAGTTTTCAAGGAATATCCTTTGACACCACAGAAAAACTCTTTTCGTAAGATTCTCTATGCAATGGTTGAGAAATCAGGTAATATACTCTGGAAACCCTAGCTGTCAATATTAGGAATAGTTTTGTTTCGTTTTTCCTATCCATTTCATGTTAAGAAGGACATTTTATCACTAAGTAAGGACGGAAGGAAACTAAATTAACAATAAATGTAATGGATGAAGTCCTAAAAATGAGGTCTAAGCTAAATGGCTCTGCTATCCCAAGACCTGTACTTTTTTGTTGATTCTGAAATAGTGGAAGAATGTCTAGATTTTGAATGGTAAGGTGTGAAGAAGGTTAAACTTTTCTGAGATGGCAAATAGTGAGATGATGATGGTGGTAATGGTATACTTAAGTTAAATATTGACAAAAATAGCTAATTATCTCTAATAATTTGTTATATTTTCATAAATTACAAATATATAATTAGTATTATGCTTCTTGTCCCATTATTATTAATTATTCAAGCATTATAATTATAATTAGCTCTTGTTAGGACTTATCACACACTATTGAGAATTCACTCAGAGATTGATGAACATTAAATATTTATTTAAAACTCTAGTTACAAATAAATATTTAATGTTCAACAATCTAGTAGTGAGTTCTCAATAGTGTGTGATAAGGCCTAACGAGAGCTAATTATAGTGCTCGGATAATTAATTACAAATATATAGCTAAGATTTTACATCTGCCGGGTGCATTGATACCCACCAAGCTTGGCTGTAGGTCATCTCTATACGAGAGAAAAATCCAAATGAACCGGGAGTGACTTGTCACAAGTATGAAATCACTACAAAAGAAGAATAAAAATGCTTATATAACTTGAAGTTTGAACTTGCTGTATGCTAAATGGTAAACCATAACAAATTAAATTGTTTACAAAATGTTTATATAATGTACAAACTACAGGTTAAGTGAACAGTTAAGAGCCTTTAAAAAAATAGAATCAGTTACTTATGGCCATAGCTAAAGCATTTGGCACCAGGGGCAAACTTAAATACATCATCTTTTGAATGAACCTTTCATTACTCTGTTACAAATTTAAAAATCATAATAAACACTCTATATTGTATTTTGTAATATAATTTTCATACTTGTACATGACATTATTTTATGAATTTATTAGTTTGTCCATGTAACAATTTTGGAATTTTGTCACCTTGTCATCTTGGCACGGGTTGCTAGTTTCATCTGTCTAAACCGGAAGAGACATCGAGAAAACTTGAGTAGAATGTCTCATAAAAGTCACTTCTTTTTTTCCTCATATAATGATGATCTACAATTGTAGAAAAGGGGTAATGGGGTAAGGGTTGAAATAAAATCTTGTCTAAACATGTTACATAAAGAATACAATTTATATCTGATCTTTATTTCTTGTTTAACCATATGTTTTTTTTTGTATAAAAAAGCTGTACTTCTGCATAATTAATTTGTATTTTCTCTGGCCAATTTCTGTTAACACATGTCAGCACTTGGTTAATTACCAATTTATTTCTTTTGTTAACTTGTTTTCAGTTTATTATAAGCTTCTCCTTTGTTTTTGCCATTAATTTGTGTGCTTGCCATCCAAGTTTCAATGAATTAAATAGCAATTAGTTAATTATTCTTCACAAAAAATGAATCATTCACAAAACAATTTTAATTTGATATTCCTTTCCTATTTAATCATTTATATTATTAATAGTTATTACTATTGGTTAACTACCAGTTTAAGATCCTTGGTTTAAATTAATTTACTTCCAGTTTAACATAAGTTACACTTTTGTTTGGTGAATTTGTGTCTTCTTGGATCAGTTTTCCATTTTAATCACACTGCAATTACAAGCAAATTATCTCCACTTGTTAATTCCTAATCTTCATAAAATATATAATGCTGCGAGAAACAATTTTATTTTGATACTTATTCCTCATTTAGCCGTTGACATCTTTCGTCAAATAATTAATGACTGTTGCCATCAGTTAATATATTACTAGGATCATCTCATTAATCCTACCAGATGATATATACATCTGAAAGCTTATATTTGAATTAATAGAAAAGTGTTACTAGTTATAACTAATATATTATTACTTTGAGATATTTATTACAGTTTATTTTTTAAGAGTAAAAGTAAGTCTAGGTACAGAAGAATTTAAATAAGTGAATACAAAGTTGCAGTACTAAGATATGAATTTTTAATATAAAATCTATGTCAGTCACACTAGATAATTGTTAGAACTTGATTAAAACATCTAAAAAGAAATAATACAGTATAACCCCAATAAATGTATTACACTACTTATAATTCATAACAACAATGCAGTGAATGTACCAGGTAACAGTGGAAGAGCTGGTTTGGAATGTGAATGCAAGTCGCTCACCCCTCTTCAACTGCACACATCCTGTCTATTTAGCTATTGTCAGTGTGTTACTATATTTTTAATAAACCTTTATAAGTCTTCATCTTGAATATTGAAAGGAGCAGGTAAAGGACGAGTGTGGTAGTACACAGTTTGTCTGAGTTTTCATTTATCCAACATTAGCATTGGTCCACACTAACTCAGGTAATTGAGATTCTACTAAATGCTGTATACACTGAGAGAACATGGTATCTACACTGAAAATTTGTATTAACTGCCATATCTCTATATTATAATTATTAATGTTTTTTCTTGTTTTATATAAAAACAGCTTTAGTTCTACTACTAAAACAAACTTTACTTCCTCTTTCTTTAAACGATACAAAGAGACTTAACTCTGTCCTCACACTTTCTTCATAGATTTTTGGCACCAACCAAATACAGCACCCCCTGTAGTTTTCCTTGGTTTTTGCTTACAAATTAAATACTATCTCCAATAATTATAAGCTGTTCTGTGATAACTGAAGTAATTTTTAATACAGTACATTATGATTAATGGGGATGAGTTGAATAATTAGAGGCTTCATTTGTACATTCAGTTGTAACAATAATGAATAATAGCTTTCCATTTATCAATATGAAGAGATAAAAGTTCATAATGCTTTAACTTGATATCCTCACATTTTGCTTTAGAGCAAAAATTGAAAGATAGATACAAAATAAAAAGCCTTTAACATTAGTAATTTAGTAAAAGTACTTATTATTAAATTATCAAAACAGCAAATAATACTTTTGTTCTCTGTATAATGGTTAACTTGTGACAAACTCAATTATCATCTCATGAATTGTACAAAATACTAGCTGCAATCCTGCAAACAATTGTAAGAATATAAGCTTGTAGCCTATGTTGTTTTGATACATAGTGTTTTATATTGTAAATGATATCTTGTGGTTAATTCACTACAAAATATGTTGCTAGTGAGACAATATTGTGGTGTTATTCTCTTTAGTTTATACAAGGAATGATTAATAGTAAAAAAAAAATAAAAATATTATTGATTACTTTGAATGTTTCTTGTATTAATTTATAACTGTTCTTAGATACAGGATGACCAAAACGTTATTGTGCAGTGAGAAATTTGTAATGACATTAATTTATCATTTCACAATAACTTTTTGGACATTGTACAATACCATTGGTCTTCTTCTGGGAATCTTACACTCAGTATTTTAATGTAGCTAGTGGTTTTGAAGAGTAAATCTTATCTCCAGAAATATTAGGTTTTCTTGATTTATATGATTCTGCTTGCTTCTTTGGTGAATTAATGTCTAGAACATATTTTTAATAGGAAATTTAAGAAAATCTGTTCTATCAAATGTAACTCCTTTTGTTAGAACAACTTGTACTATATTGTAGTGATGTCACATGAGCTATTCAAGCTATCTAATTCATAAATAGAATGATGATAAACAGTAGCGTGCCATGACATTTGATGATAGGGAAGTTGTGTTTCTGTAAGAAGCCGATTTCCGGGGGCAATCAGTTAATTGAGCGTCGGTGATGCTCTAGGCCAGGGGTCGGAATTAGCGGCTTGCGAGCCGCATGCGGCTCTTTGCATAGACATTTGCGGCTCTTTGGACATAAACTCCAATTTCATTTCACCTCATTTCACCGCAGCCTTATAACTTATGAGTTTATGAGATAGAACCACCGAACAAACTTCGACTTGTTCTCCTTCCGCACATGACCACACTCGCGTTGATCAATATGAGTCGCATAAGAGTGGTAGCATTTGAAGCATATCTATATATATAACCCATTGAACGCGTGTCCGTCCATCCGTGTAATGTTATGCCGAAAACGGCCACTAGAGGCGCCCCTGTCGTGTGTCGTATTTCGCACATTTAAATTAACATGCGGCTCTCTGGTACTTTTGTTATCCTGTTTTCATGACAATTTGGCTCTTCTCATTTGACAAACTGCCGACCCCTGCTCTAGGGTCCAGTTGTATTCATTTTGTTTGATAAGCCAGTAAAGACTGTAGACTTCTCTAAATGTATTTTTAATATCACAATTACATTCTGAATCGCTAGCCACGATATAAGGGCTAAAATTTGAAAAATTATAAAAACTTACTCGGTGAAATAATGTGTGGTGGATATACATACCTGGTACAAAATATTCTTCAATTGTATGAACATACTTTTAAAGAAAATTATAATTAAATATAGCTTTGTAAAGAAACATACATAAAAATAACATAAAATGTTCTTTACTTCTTAAATCTTAAAACAATCCACTTAGTCAAATAGCTCCCTACCAGTGGCTAATGGATGGAATCAGAGACAGTCCCGGTAGGTGTGCAGTGCATGCATGAGGGCTGCCAAATCCTGAGGGTGCTGATACTGGTTAATGTCAAATGCCTCTTTTGTTGCATCACTAGTATACCTCAAAGGATGCGATAGGATTGTTGTAAATTTTAAACGTTTCTTGCCATAGCTGTAAAAATCTAAATATGTTAAACTTAATAGATTGTTTGTCATTTGTTTTCTAACTAATTCGTTTTAGGACCAGGTGTCCATGGAAATTTCCAAAATTTACAACTTTTCGGTCACTCTCATTGAACTGGAAAAATTTCTGTCTTTATTACATCTAATACAGTACAGTAGAGTCCCGAAAACTCGGCACGGCACTCGATAACCCAGCAGTCCAGATAACTCGGCCATATCCTGGCAGGGTGAAAAAAACCCCTAGTTAATATTCATTATAGACAGCTTTATGCCTCATAAAGTATTTTTCTGAGGTCTGTCTTATCAGGTAAATTACTGTACACTGTGTATTCATTAATTTTCATTTTCATGTAGTAAAGGCTCTATGCCTTCATAAAGTACTGTACGTACTTTTCCTTTGTTTAAGGGTATTTGGACAGTTTATTCACTGTTATATTCTCAAGCAAACAATACATACACGTACAGTAGTATTTTCTGAGGAAACACTCGTACTTATTCTTTTTTAACCCCATTCCCCATAACCCGGCATTTTCACAAACTCGGCCACCCTTCAGTCCACATTAGGTCAAGTTTTCGGGACTCTACTGTATTACCAAGAAATCAGTCCCCACTTACTTGGCTACAGATTGGTTCGGTTAAGCTTTTGTTTTAAGTAAAATTCTGGTTATTTTAGCAGGTTTTTATTTATATCCCTAATTCCCTAATCTCTTAATTATTTAACTACTTGTTAAGTAGAAATAAGTCGAAACCAGTTACTTTGTACTCGAATATTTGTAGTCTTGGGAAAGAAACGGAAAGACAAATTTTTATGACAACAGATACATAAATTGTAAATTTAAGGAAAATAAATTCTAGAGCATTTTTTGTACCTCATGCATCTTATTCACTAAATTTAGTTGTAAATGATGCTGCCAAAGTAACAGTTAATTTTTTAACATTGTACAAGAATTGTACACGTTTCTTTCTGCATCCCATTATAGATGGGACATACTAAATCGTAATATCACTAGTTTAACATTGAAATCTGTAAGTAGTACAAGGTGGGAGAGCAGAATAAATACATCAAATATTTAAATGGAATTTTTTTTAAACTCCTGTCAACTATACAGAACTATCATAAAAACGTACCAGTAAACTCCTATCGGTTGGGTTAAGTTATAAATCTACTTGTGATTCACATAATGGGACAAATAAATCTAGCGGGCAGGCTGCTAACAGCCCATAACCGGTCCTGGATAGAATCATTGGAAGTGTTATACTATATTTTGGTGTGTAGCATCCACCAGCTAAACTGCAAGGTTGGTGCTCTGTAAAGTACATGTGCAAATGTGTATAATCTGGCTGCTTTACACCATTCAGATATTTTCACTGTGGAAACTGTCCCATATTCCACAATACAGCGCTTCCATTCCGCCACTGATATTCAAATATACAATTGCAATCTTATCGTTTTTTTCACACGTAATATAGAAATTTGTAATAATATACATAATATGGTTGTAATAAAATATTAATTAATTCAAAGTATGTTAAAATATGAAAATAATTGCAGAATATGTATTTATATTTTAGAAAATACAATGGAAGCAGCGCTTCCACTGCTTCCAAGGATGGCATGTCACTGATGTTAAGTGATGAAACCAATTAAACAAGTAAATACATGTCAATTTGCATATAAGATATAAATTTAATATAAACACATAAAACAATAGCTGATAATGTCTATTTTGATCTTATAATTGCATAATAAAATCTGAAAATTAAAAATGCAGTTCACCCAGTTTTCGAAAAATAAAAATTTAATAGTATATAATTTGTGTTGTTACAATAAATACAATTTCTTCTAAAAATAACAAATTCATTTCAATTATTGTTTAACAAATGCCGTTAAAACTTCCAGACACTATAAAAATATACGTTCATTACTAAAAATATTGTTCCAGTCTACAAAATTTTGTTACAAGAAGGATCAGTCAAATGAAAACTTATAAAATATTATTTTATACGTAAATAACGTAAGAGGACTTCCTATCACTTGAAAATAGCAGTTGGATGGAAATGTTAAGAACTATTTGGCACTGGAATTTTATTGCAGCGAGATAATGCATGGCCCCACACTGCCCACAAGACAATCAAGTGTCTTCATTCTTCATTGTCTACTCTATTCCCGGATTTTGCTTCAAGTAATATTTTTGGACCCCTGCTTCCCTCAATTTCACTCACAAGTCAACAAAAGTTTAAGAGGCAATGCACAATGGCTTCACACAGAAAATCCAGGTACAGTACTAGTGAAATGCCAGGGATGTATTGAATGTAGCAAGTATAGGAAATATATTGAAATAAAGGGAACCAAACAATTATTTTAAGGTTTTCATTTGACTGAGACTCTTAATTTAATTTCTGGTCATCAAATCAGCTTGATGATAGTAAATTAATCATACTACTGATAAAATTCTCATATTAATTGTTTCTTAAATTCAGGGTAAATCTGTTTGAGTAACTCCTTCTTGTTCACTTTTCCCAGAGCATTGCGCGGCAATTCTTTCAGACAAAGAAGCAAAGTCGGAGCAGAATAGGGAGACATTCTTTCCTTGCACCAGTTTCGTAATTCTGGGAGAGGCATTTCACTTTTGTCTTTAGTGACGATAACGGCTGCCACTCTTTCGCCCCAGGTGTCGTCGGGAACTCCCAAGACTGTACACTCTCTAATGTTGGAATGTGACAAGAGATGACGTTCTACGTCCAGAGCACTGATTTTGTATCCTCCACTTTTTATGATGTCAGTAGAGGAACGTCCCAAAATTTTATATATGCCATTTTTACATTCAACAGTATCTCCTGAAATGAATAGCAACTAAATTCATGTCATACCTTGGAGCTTCTATCTTTAATCTTAACAAATTTACTATGTGAAAATAGAATTACAAATTTAACTTTAAGCAACTTTTTGTTAGGGTTCTAGTTGTATGCATAATTTATGTAATTGTCTATACACCACACATGGTTTTGTTAAGGGCTCTGAAAAATGGATTGATGGGAGAAGGCAACAAAACACTTGGGCAGTCTGCCAAGGAGAAATGCGTCGAGAGGCTTTTCTATGCAAAACGGCCCATCTTTAGGTGCTTGACATGTGAAGAAAACCTGGAAAACTTCACATGGCTAGCCCATTCCATGTCCACAAAATGTAGTGTTATGCAGTGCCATAACATTCCTTACATGTTTTACTAAAATCAGGATCCTCAAATTCTTAATCATTATTTAGCTCAACCCTTAGGCTAAAGCCCCAAAAAGTCGAGCCCCCATAATAGTTTATTCTTCAGTGTCCCAAAGATGTAAAGCTATCACTGACTAAAAGTGCAGTAACTCTACATTGATAACAAAGTAGGGATGCCACAAGAAAAAATTATTAAGGTGAGGGTTGCCATATTAGAAAAAGGGTTGAAAAATGCTGCATTACACTATCATTAAATGTAATGTGGCAGTAACTAACTACATTTCACAACCAATGATCGCTAAGTTGAGTGCTAAGTTGTAAACTAATTAAAAGAAGATATTTTGGAATATGATGTGTAGCCTTGAAAATTTAAGCAATAATTAACATATAGAATTCCATATACATTATTAGGTAAGCAATTTCAATGTGAGGTCAATCCCATCACAGTGCCAAAGAAACTAAATGACTGCCAGCAAGAATTTACCATACATACTACTGTGATCAAAAGTATTGGGAATGGTTCATTGAAACACTTGTTTTCTTTGTAAGATTGGGGATTTTTCAAAATGTGGAGTGTAATTGAGCAAAGAATATGATTAAATTTTCTATTTAATCATATTCTGCTACAAAACATTGGAAATTTTGTTTTTGCAACATTATTAACATTTGCCAAGCCTTTGGTGATGACAGTCTATAAAAAAAAAATAAGATGGTACAAGATATTCAAGGAAGGCACAAAACACGTCAAAGATGAACCTTACTCTGGAAACCATCCACTTCCACTGATGAACAACATTTCACTCAAGATATAGTGCTCAATGATTGTCATTTAACAATCAGGGACATTATCAAACATGTTCCTTTATCATTTTGATCTTGTCAAGCAATTTTAAAAGATCATTTGGGTTTGTGGTCACTTCATGAGTCATCTCGAAAATGTTGAATTTGTTAGAAAGGCCAAGGAAGTGCTTTCTCAAGGCAAATTATTCTTAAAATACATCATTATGGGTGATGAAACATGTATCTACATATCTGACACTGAAACAGCTTGACAATTGAGTGAATAGCACTCAAAAGATGAAGCAAGACTGAAAAGACCGTGTCAAAGTTGGTCAAAAATTGAACTTGTGTTGCTTGTTTTCTTTGATTATTGTGGTGCCGTGTATCACAAATTCTTTCCAACAGGCCAAACTGTCAACAAAGAGTATTATTTGAGGGTTTTGCATCCTTTGCATAAGCAATTCATAGAAAACAACCCAATTTGTGGCCAGAAAACTCACAGACCACAATAATGCACCCATTCATAAATATAGTTCTACAAGCTGTATTCACATGACGTGGCACTGTGTGACTTTTTCCTATTTTCTTAACTAAAATTTTCTCTTCTTGGTCATCATTTTGAGTTCATTGATGCCATAAAACAAAATTCACTGCGAGTCCCAAAGGGATTTCACAAAAACAACTTTAAAGCCACATTTCAAGGACTGGGAAAAAGTCGGCATAATTTCATTGCAGTGGGATGGGATTATTCAAAGGGGACAAAATAAATTTTGATGAATAAATTCAAATCTTGCATTTTATTGAACCATTCCTGATACTTTTTAACCATGGGATATTTATGTGTTTTATGAGAGGGCCTAAACATATATCTGTTCTATAGAAAAAAAAAAAATTTTAAATGTGCATAAATTAATTTTCAGGGAAATTTACTATTGACAAAAGTTAGTTAATTCACAAATTATTTATTTACCTGTTTTAAACCAACCATCTTCAGTAAATGACTCTTTGGTTTCTTTTGGTTTATTCCAGTATTCTTTAAACACATTATTTCCTTTGACACACAGTTCACCACTCTCGTCCCCATCTTTCGAATCTTTCTCGGATCTGCGTATGCAAACTTTGGTACCTTTGACAGGTTTACCAACACAACCTAAAGAGAAACATTAGGACAGTTTTAGAAATTTTGGCTGTTTGGTTCTTATTATTCCACTTGCATTCTGCAATTATTTATGTATGTTTATATCTGCCATGAGAATCCAGATTCTCATTTATGGTGATGTTTCTTTCCTGGACTTAGCAGCCTCAAGACTAATGATATATATACTATTGTGTTCAATTCTCTTAATTACTTAATTTTAGTTCTATCCCACCAATGACCTACCTGGAATCCTTTCTCCATGTAATGGATTTGACAATGTCATACCAATTTCTGTCATTCCATATCTCTCCAACAATCTGTGTCCTGTTATCTCTTCCCATCTCTCCATTACAGGCTGAGGCATTGCTGCAGATCCACTTGCCATCAATCTATTAATAAATATTCATATTTAATTATAGTCTTTTTTTATACAGTAATTAAACTGGAAGTAATTGATAATTAAAGATTTTTATTAATCAGCTTAATGGTCTGTGTTGATTTTACTGCAAACTGTTGATATTACAAATCTGTGATTTGTGGCCCTGCAAATCACAGATTTGCAGGGCCACAAAGTCAGAGTTAAAAATTGCTTTCAAGTTCATAAAAATGAACCTTAACCAAACTTAAACAACAGATTGCAAAGACAGAGTATGTTAAATGACATTTAAAAGCCGAACGGCATCTAGATGTTAGCTGGCTGAACCACAGTTTAAAATGTGTTGCAAAGACAACAGTCGTCTATTTCTGAACGCCGTCTAAACGAATCTCGACAAAATGTTGGCTATTACTCCCCCCTCTCAACAGTTATTTAACCAATCAGGTCATTAGTTTATGATGTCAGAAAAAGGGCGACAAACAACATGTTCAAATCATGCTGGAATTTTTCTGAAGAAGAAAAAAGTGTCCTCGCAGAAATTATAAAAAATTATCCTGCAGTTGAGGAGAAAGGTTACAACAATTATATTCTGGGGATGAAAAAAACTGCATGGGAGATGATACAGAATGAATTTTCTTTGTCGTTTCCTTGTCGGTCTGCTCGCAGCAAGACCTTATTATTATTATAAACGGTTTCTATCACTATACAAGAAACTTTTAAAATTTATTTAATGGTAGTTTCATAGATACCTGCAATACAGTATAGATGAGAACTCAGATAAGATCACCGGCTACCCTCTGGAAGCTTTTGGTGGCATAAAATCATAATACTGTCAACAACTGTTGTTCAGTAGTTAATGGCAACCATCTTTCATCTAGATGCTTAATTTTGTCACCAATACAATTTAAAACATGAATAAATCCAGATTTAGAAAATTTATACCGAATTCGAAATTCGTCTTCAGAATAGATTATTAAAGGATTATTCTGATCTTGTATTACCCTCTCTCTCTCTCTCTCCGTAACTGTAGAGATGAATAATTTTCTTGATTCATCCCATTAACAATATTTATTAAATGAATAATATCCATTACAACAAACTTTGCAACCAACAAATGAATAAGGCGACTTCTACTCAAGTAAAATTGTGTCTAAACTTGCTATCAAGGGAGTCTAGAAAGTAGGTCAAATAACTTGTTTCTAATCACTGTCTAAACTGTGGCAAGTGAGAAATGCCATCTCTGCAATTAAATTTTTCTGAACCACGGTCTACCAAATTTCTAAACCACTGTCGGCATCTAAATGTTGTCTCTGCAATCGGCCCAAACAGTTTACAGTTCTAAAAAATAGTCTTCAGTACTGTCAACACAAACCATCAATGTCTTCTATGTGTGTGCATTCTATTGATATAGAAAATATATAATTAATATATTATTTATTTATTTATATTCTACACTGATATATAGATAAAGAAGTTGAAGTCACGGTTGAAGTGTTCGTATACAGACTCCACAGCCTTGCTGATTTAAATGTTTAAGAAAATTGTTAAAACAATTTGAGAAGTACAGTACAATCTCAGTAATCTGGCTGTTTGTTAGTTCAACACATCCAATAATCCAAAGCTAGCCAATTCTCAGATTGTACCAGCAATTGTAAACAGGCTTCCATCAGGACTGTGGAGTCAGTAGAAAACACTCCATTCTGACTCCTGATAATTTTAGTAGGCCGACTCTGACTCCAGAAAAATTAAATACAAAGTCATTTTATGGGGAGGGGGCAGAGGAGCTCATAGGGGATTACCCTACTCTGAACTCGGAAAGGAGCCCTGGGCATTTACCCAAATACTTTTATAGCTAAATATTAAAAATACTAACTATAAAAGTATTTGGGTAAATGCCCGAGGCTCCTTTCACAGTTCAGAGTAGGGTACCTCCCTATGAGCATTTCTGCTCCCATATAATGACTTTGTATTTAATTTTGCCGGAGTCGGGAGTCTGAGTCGGCCTACTAAAATTATCTGGAGTCAGAGTCAGAGTCGGGTGTTTTTTACCAACTCCGCAGCCCTGATGAAAACAGTGACAAAGAATCAAATGACAATGAATCTGAGTCATCTAATGACTGTAACTGAACAATTAAAGATGTAAAATTTATTCCTTATGCTTGATTAACAAATTTTCATTCTTGATTTCCTGGGGTTGGCTTACAATTGGTGTCTGCTTATAATTGAATAAATGTGGTATTTTTATCTTTTAAAATTAATGAAATTAACAATTANCATATTTAATAAATTAAATTGTTACATTTTGTATTTAAAATAAATGAATTATAACAAAATACAAAAACATTTTAAAAAATTAATAAATATAAAATATATTTTCTTTCATTTAAATTAGAAAACTAAATTAAATTTAAAATGCTGGAGTTGGAGTCGACACATTTTTCCCGACTCCAACTCCTCTGGCCAGAAATTCTTCCCGAGTCCGACTCCACAGCCCTGGCTTCCACTGATCCAACCTCTGGTTTCCATTAAATTTAAACACCTTCCTACTAATGTGGCATGTACCAAGCCCAAACTAGGACACAATTTTAAAGACTGGTTCATCATCTGCTCAAATTGATTGCTCTCCTTTTTTACTTTCTTGCTATTTTATGCATGTTTTTGATTAATACAATATATGTAATTGAATGTTTTCTTTTCATATGATTAAGCCATTGAATTCTCCTTACTTTCAATAAACCAGCAATCTTCTTAATCCAACATTGTTCCAGTCCGTTATATATCAGATTACCAAGATTTTACTGTACTTCATAGTGTTTTTTTTTTTTTTTAAGTTTACAAGCATTTGGGATTTGTGCAAGTCCCTGAGTTGCAAATGATTTCTGTTCCTCAGCCTGTCTTTAAGTCAAATTTGTAGGTAAGTCAGAACATGAATATATGGTTGGTATTTACCACCAGTTAGTCAAACATTTGTCTTAGTATAGAGTATAATATTTTATAATTACCTTAAAAATGCTTCAAACACTACTTCCAACAGATAGCTTCTTCAGAAATCAAATGTTTTTGGCCTCATATGTGGCCCTCTTTGAGTCAAACAAGTTCAATTGAATTTAAAACAGCAAATAAATTTTGCAAGATAAGAGACAGTTGAACTTCTACACATTTGAAAAATTTTAAAAAGTCAATGACCAATAACATTTAATTCAGGTCCAACATTTTTGAATGTTTGAAGCATTTTAAGGTATAGTGGGTGATCGGTTAATGAACAGATTGGTTAACGAACAAATCGGATAATGAACACTTTCGCGAAAGATTTTTATGATCGGACAACGAAAACGTTTGGATAATGAACACTTCACTGAACAAACACAAGAAGAAGCAACGTAAAATAACGAATACTGATTGGTCTTCCTTTGTCTTCAGGCAACAATTTGAAACTTTTCAGAGCGTGGAAGACGTCGCCATCACGTTCAACCCAGTATATACTGATCGAATAGTATTCCCCCGAACTTTGAAACTCTCCCATGTAATTCCAGCCTTTTATATTTCTGATAGAAACAATACTTTCACATTTTCTTCTGAAAAAGAGGATTGATGTCAATATCTGCTATTAAAGATCTTTTGAAGAAGTGGGAGGATGTCAGAACAGTGGTCTTAAAATGACATCCAAACCAGGTTTAGGTTAATAGACTTAGGGATCTCTACAATTATAATGCGATTAATTATTTCTGAAAAATCACGAAGAAGACAGAAAAGCAATCGACATTAGTCAGATTCTTTAACCCCCACAAACAGAAAAAACGTGACAAATAAAAATGCAAGACTGTGTATATATGTATTTTTATTATTACATATGAATAAACATAGTAAGAAAGTATATATTTTTTATTTTTTGGGAGTCTCCAGAACGAATTAATCAAATTCCCATAGAAACCTATGGTAAATTGATAATCGGTTAGCAAACAATTCGGATTGCAAACAAAGTCTTGGAACGGATTATGTTCGTTAACCGATCACCCACTGTAATTGATTTACTGTTCCAACTTATATGGAGTTTTAAAGTGTATTGAAATATTTTAACTTTCTATGTATACAAAACACATACAAACCTCTTCAAAATGTACTAGAATATCTTAATTATAATTATAGACATTAATAATAAAGTTGTAATAAAAGTAGGCTATATAGTAGATTGTTTTTGAGTACAGGTGTTTATGACTCGAGGACTGCTTGTATTTAGGCAAATATCACAAAGCCAAAGTGCTAGTGGCCAAGTGGATAAACCTCTGAACACTGGTTTTTATCCATGGAATGCTTGTCACAGGTTTGTGCCTCACCAACAAGCTGGCCACATGGAGTTTTCGGGTTTTCTTTAAGTGTCTAACATCTAAATAGAAGTCAGTTTCCAATAGAAAGTCTCAGAAGGCATCTCTCCTTGCAAATCACATGTTGCATTACCATATCCCATCAAACTGAATCTTACAAAGCAAAATTGACTACTTTCAATTAATTAAGAAGTATTGTTTTCCTTTGATTTTTGTGAATGATATGCAGTTTGCATTATTACTTTTCTGCAGTAATGGTTTCTCCATTTTTTGAGCAGTTGTAGTGAAAAACTTTGGTCCATCTTGCAGTAAGCCATTATTTTCTTGGGATGGTGACTTTGAATAACAAAGTTACAAAACTTACATTGAAACAATTATTCACAGATCATTTCAAGTTGTCATACATGATTCATTCTTCATCATGTATTGCAATATAATCCAAAAATCATTTGTGTTTTTAATGAAAACTTAGTAAAGAGCTTCATAATTTATTATTATTATTGATTAATTTGTGGTATTCATATATGAAGATTCCTCACTTATTTCAGAACAATCGAATAACTTAACAATGATATTTTAATGAATCCATTTCAATTAAATCCTCAAAATATCATTATTTACACTAGATTTGCATTCTCATTTTACTTCATGAAACATTTTTTAAACTATGAATGAACTGTGATATGAAAGTATCTACAGAAATTCACTATATCATATTTACATCTCAGAAAATATTAATGAACTCTCTCTTAGCTTAAACTAATTTTTCTAGAAAATATAACAATACCCAATAAACCTCGCACTGTTATAACAGTTCTCGTGTTAACATTTTCAGAGATATTCTACACTAAGTTATCTATTTTGTAATGGTTATCCTTACCAAATAATTAATATATGATCTCTTTTGATTTACTTCATCCAACCAACTTTCCTTTATAATTTCCTATAAACCTTTTCCAAAATTCTGTCTGTAAGGCCAGCACTTTCCACTTATCACTCAAGTTTCGGGTCCATACAGAACAATGAATATAAATTACTTTTTTTAATTTTCAAAATTACAAAAAAAATCTTATTTAATATAATTGAACTTAGCATGCCAGACTTTTTGTACATTTTATACTCAATTTCAGTTGTAGATAAAACATCTGTACATTACCAAACCTATGAAATTGCATCAGATTTTGTAATGGTGTTTACTAAACTCATTTTCATTAGGATCATAACAGACAAAATAAAAATATACTAACTTACCTTATTTTTTGCAGACAGATGGCTTTCACATATTCAGGAGTAACGCTACTTGTCATTTTTCCATAAAACTGTTGATTATATGCTTCTATCAATTTAACATACATCGTTGGTACAGCCATGTAACAGTTCACTTGCGGCTTTTCGTCAGATATGTTTAATAATTCATTCCAAACCTGTCAAAAAAAATTATTTATAATGTAAATTTTAAAAATTTGTTTTGTTTATAATATCCAAAAACTGTTTTTAAAATCTTCTTACGTCTATTGGATCAAATTTTGGCAGCATCACCACACAGGATCCAATGTATAATGGGCAAAGAAGTGCATAAAATATACCATGTGTGTGATGAAGAGGTAACGAATTTAAAATTACGTCTTCTTTTGTATGTTCCCACGATTCTACGGGGATTTTTGTCTGGACAAACACATTTTCGTGAGTTAAAACAACACCCTTTGGAGGTCCAGTGGTGCCACTTGTATACAAAATCAATGCATTTGATTTCTCGATATTCTTGTCCGTCTCCGGAAGAAACTTGCTCAAGTCCTTTGCTCTTCCTTCGTCCAACTCGATGTCTTTTGGATGTTTTATTTCTAAAATAGGTACATTTAACTGTTTTGATATCGGGTCCACTTTATCTCTTAAGTCTTCTGCCACCATGATGGCCGAACTCTGAGAATTTTCTACATAGTATTGCAGCTGTGGTGTTGGATGTACTTTACTTAATGGAACAGCAACATTTTGAGTTATCCAACAGGCCCATTTTGCAACAATATAAGATGCATCACTCTGACACAGAAAAGATATTCTTTCTTGTGAACTCTTTCCTCTTTCTTTCAGGAGGTCGGATATTCTTTGAGACAAGATGATACTCTGATGCAGTATATCCCTATAGGTGTACTTTCCATATCTGTCAACAATAGCCAGACGTTCTGGAAACTGAAGAGCCCTCTCATAAAAAGGAACAAATGATAATCTTTTGGCAGTGACATATGACAAAACTCCTAAATTTCCAAATTTTACATTATTGAAATGAATTTGTCTCAATACTGTTCTAAACTCCTTTGACAAAGATACTCTGTACAACATCTTTAAGCTGAAAAATAGTATACCATATATTAATTTTGAATTGTGTAAAGTTGTATCTCACATAACTAAACACACACTCACTCAAAATTGATTCTTATAAACTTTTTATCCTTCTATCTTAATTTATTTTAAATTAATATGACTATTAATACTTTTTGTAGTTAAGATTGAATATAGAATGCATTATCTAAACTTGCTTAATTAGTTACGTTTATGAGAGATGACATAATACCAAATGCAGAATTTGACACATCACAGGATTATTAAGAAGTTTATAATAATGTTACAAGTAAGTTCTATATAATCATGTTCACTTACAAGTTAGAACTCTGTAACATTACGACATTTTCATAAGCTTATGATGAGGATACTAAATGTAGCATGTGGCCCAACATTACACCAAACAAGATTGTAATAAAAGCATATTAATAAGCACATTACTTGATAATAGCTAAAAGCATGCATTTAAAATTATAATAAATTCATAATAAGTGTACACAGTTTTAATTTAAATACAATTTAGACATGAAACAACTCGGCACAACATAGACTTGTTTCTTTGATACGGCAATGCAAGTTGATAGAGAAACGTCAAGAAAATCTGTAGTGAGGTCAAACACTTCTCTGCATAGTTGCCAACCATATGCTTCGTCAGTGGACAGGTCACTTTTTCCTTTTTCAGTGTTTTTAAAGAATTTGATATTATTACATAAACACTTTATTTAACAAGTCTAATATAGATGCCAAAGACATTTTATGTATTTTACGAAGGACTAAAGCGAACCAGAACAACATTCTCAGATTTGTTCAATTGGGAAAGAACCAAGATTGATATTTTTGTATGTATGTATGTTGGTATATATATGAAAATTTTAGCTTAAATATGATAATTTTAAATGGCAGATATGATAAATTGCATCTTCAAGTCTGGCAATGTTATTGTCATCACATTGGCAGTTAAATCAGTTATGACCAATTCATCAGCAGAAGGAAACAAGTTTAGTTTACTTTTACAGTTAGACCAAATTATTGAGCAGCACCATAGTTTCTCTGCCCAAAAAGAAGAAACATCTGATTCATAACTTAAGAATATACAGGTCATACAAGTATGAGCTTTCTCAAGAAAAGAAACAAGATGATACTTTGAGATTTGTGGAATTTTACAAAAAGTTATAATCTTTGTAAAATAGTAAGGTTGATGATGATTTTGTCACACAGCAATGCAGGTCCTCCCTTGCATTGCATGGCAAAAGGAAAAGATATTCAGTATAATAAGAAAAAGACAGAGATAGGAACTAAATCACAACCTGAAAACATTGTCCTTAATAATTGCAGTGAAAATCAATAAATTTACTGATACCAACTGTCATAAGTACACTGTAATAAAAGAAATTATTAAGAAAGCAAAACATTGCAAAAAAGGCATATAACAGGAGGCACTAACAGGACTCGTGACACATCATAAATCTAGGTGAATATTTATGATGTGTCTTGTAAAATACTTTTCATTTTTTAAATTGATATTAAATTTATATTAAAAAGTATAAAGCTATTGCCATTCTCTTGACAGCATTTATGGCAATAGCTTTATAAGAAATCATATGCAGAAATAAAATTAAATTTTGTTTATTAAAGGTATTTAATAAAAGCATTGTGCAATATCAATGTTAATAAATATTTTTGCTTTTTATGCTGTCAGCATTTTTATTCAAAAATCAGTGTTTTTTTACCAACATCCCAACTATTCTCCATTCTAAAGGTTGGCTAGTATGTCTCCGCATTGGTCACCAGCCAACTTTCATTAAAGCAGCCTGCAAGCGGAGCAACGGTGTGCACCTTATACAGCCAAATTTCAAACACACACTGCTTAACGTGCACTTTTAAAGTTTATTGTATACGCAAATCAACATTTTAAAATATACAAATTATCATTCAAAACTTACAGATACAAATATGTCAATGATCTGTAACAATGTTGACCCTCAAAAGTATCCCTTCATATGTGGTATATTACCATTAAAGACCACATTTGGATGAATTAATTTCTAGATATCTTACCAAATATCCCGATATCCAGCAGGAAGAAACTAAAATTACTTTATCTACTCTTTCAACTTTGATATAACATGTTTTAGTGTGATAATCTGGTACTGATAACGGTAACAAGGTCACCAAACAACTTGATAACTTCATCTACATCATATAAATTGAGAAATTATATGCAACTCTTTAATTAATGATAATTTTCATTCAAATTCTGCATTCTAACAATAATAAGAATATATCTGTATACAATACTTGTATATCTCGTTCACGCAATGAAGCGAGAGAAACACGTGTACAGGAAATATACAAGTTTCTCATCACATTCGTCACGTATCACGTGGGTTAGCGAGCACCAATTAGCGAATGCAATACGGTGAAGGAGGCGATGGTACACTACACTCGAATTAAATATAGGGAAAAGGTATACAGTACATTATTAATTAATGCTCAGTTTAGTTATATTGGTTACCGTTATATTTAATAAAGAAATAATACAGAAACAGATGAATTAATTAATTTATAGTGTGTGAAATTATTAATAAAATACTTGCTTTTTTAGTTTGTGAAAAATTTTTCATAAAATTATTATTTTTTTTATTTGTTTCACATATCTAGGCGCTCGTAAAACATTAATTTTTTTATTTACGCGGGTGTCCTAAACATACAGACGCCATTTTTAAAAGGATGCGCCACCTGGATAATTAAGCCCTTTAATTTTCCGTGTGCGTTTTCATTAATTTAAATTTATGGTTTTGTAATAAGTAAGACATTGGAAATAATAATTTTTATATTTTATCAATTTAACTGATAAAATTAGAAATTATTCTATCTTCTTGAAAGATTTGATATCCAAGCAAATGGCGTCCGAAGAAAATTATCCAAGGAGGCAAAGCTTGGAGACAAATGATTACTTACATTAATACATTTTTTATTTAATTATTTTGGATTTTTTTGCAAGTAGATTATAGAATACAGTATTGCATTTCAGAGTGTAAGGTTACATACATACATATCAATCACTTTTACGATTATAATTTGTAGAAATTTTACTCCGTTTATAGGAGCCAAATGCCCCGTACGCGTCCTCTGCCGGAACCCGTCTCAGAAGCCATTTGCCTGGATAAAAAGTGCAGGTGGCGCTCCATATAGGAAATTTTCCGGGAAAATTCAACCGTAAGTTACGTGACGTGATTCGAGTAATGGTGCAAATCGTGATTAAAAGGTAGGTTTAGTTAATGGATTACCTTATTCCTAATTAATTTATTGCATTAATTACCTCATTATGTACTTAAAAATCGATCGATATTTTAGTAAGGAAACGGGAGACGTGGCCGAATGGTCCATTTTGGAGCTGCAAGGCGATCTGGAATGCACAAGTGAGCAAGATCTTCGCAATCAATTTGTCGGCGATCTTCATTATTCTAAAAATGTAAGATGAACTTTAACTTTTGTACAATTAATATGTCGGATTTGGCGGGCAAAATTCGAATTGCACTTCAATTAAAATTGTATCTGTTCTTATACAGATACAATTACCGGTAAGATTCTAGCTCCGAATGAGGGAAGAGAGAAGCACCAAATTGTAGACCCTGTGCGATTAAAAAATGTCTAATGAACCATACCCTTCACGGGATATAGTCCCCCAAAATCGGGTCGCGAGGACTATACCTACGTAATATACCAAATTTTGTTTTTTCCGTTGCACAGGGGCCTACAATTTGGAGCTAGAATCTTATCAATTACCCTTGAACCAATTCTTATATTCTATTGCCCCCCTACTGATACATATTTAGAACCATGAAACAACTATGTAAACTACAACTGCTGATTAAGTGAACTGTTTTGTTGTCAGTCCAGATTATGTATGGCCACAATTAGAAGTTAAATTCAGAATAGACTGAAGATGCAGCAATTTTGTAAGCATTTCTCTTAATACAGACGCTGAATCTTCTACCCGTTTGGACTCGATTGTAGCATCGGGCATGTTATCTGGTAAAGTTGCTTTATTACAGCTGAATAAACAAACCAATAACTGTCAAAATCAGATGTTACTTTACCAGAAAACACGCCCATAGTTTGGATTCAGAATATACTTCTTAGAAGCTGAAACACTAACAATAAGTAACTCCACACCTTCCATACTCTTCAGCAAAAACTTTTTTTATTAGAACAAATGTTTTCAGTCTCTTTAACGGGCCTGTATCAGGTTTTCAAACTATTCTACAAAGTATTTCAAACTGGAATGTTCAAGCAACTTGGAGTTATTTCAAAAATTTATACATTAAAAAAAATTTGCTGGAAAAAGAGTACCAGGCATCGTGGCTTTTTTATAGCTGTCACCAGGTTACTTTTTGCAGCAATCAGAAATGAAAAAGCTGACAGTATAATGAAAAAAAAAAAGGTTCTTTTCTGTTAATGGGACACCAGTTGTAACTTTAATCAAATGCACAATACCGTCATTTGTGTTGCTCTGCTAAAACTATCGTGTTTAACTATTTAGCCTGTGCAACTGTGCCATCTTCGAGTAGCCCACTTGACTGTGGAGTACTTAATGTTATACAGTTTTAGGGAGTTTGGGGGCTTGTCCCCCACCCAGGTGTTGAAGTGTGAATGATAGCAAACACCAAAGTGCAATGTGCACAACTATATGCAAATGTAGTCATGCACATTGCACTTTGGTGTTTGCTATCATTCACATGCAAAGCAAGCAGAATAGGCAGTATACTGATACGTGTTAAAAACTGACCTTGGAGGTGAATATCTCACAAAGGGTCGACAATTCTGGGGTAGTGTGAAACCCCTCATTCGGAGCTTGAATCTTACCTGTTGCTGTAAGTATTGGCTGGCATCCTTTTAACAGAAAAGTACCATCTGGAATTTTTTCTACTAAATCAAAAAAAGAATTTAAATGCATTTAATACCATATAATAAAGTTTCAGGTTTCTACAAAGTTTTATTTTTAAATAGAAACTGGCTACATTTGTGTCCACTGTGGTGCTATCCAGTTGATATCTTAAAAAAATAAACTAATTAAACTTCATTTCTTATGAAATTTATAGAAACAATTACATGTTTTAGTCAGACAAAGGATAATTTTTACATTCATTATACTGCCATTGACTCCTGCCTGTGCACTTATCCAACTGGCATCTTTTAGGAAGTATGTTGATATGTTGTGGCCAGTGTGCATATATCATCATAATGTGCATCATCCACTGGAAGAGCCATTATTCTAGCCTAGGGGTCCACAAAGTGGTTGATACGAGTTCTCCGGGGGTCGATTAATACACAACGGTCGAAAGGGGGTCGATTAGTACCAAAGAGCATCAATTAAACTTGCTAGGAAAAAAATAGAATATTCCAATAAAAATTCAAAATATGGACATGATCAACATTACTGACTACCCTAGTTGTAACTTGAGTTTTGCCTTAGCCTACTAATGTAAGCATGTGTTACTGTTTTCACGCATCTGGCAACTGTACTAGTGTTGCAAACATGTTATGAATGCTGGTAGTTCATTATACACAGACATACATTGCACTGTTACACTCTAGTAGGGTTGTCACTCTAAGTATTTTATATCTAAAAGTAGATATTTTGTCCTTTACAGAGAAAATATCGTAATATATTGAAAATCATTAACCCTTTACCACCACCATCTTGTTTACATTTATTTTGTAAACTGTCCAACAGCAATATAGGTCAGTCAGGCGATATTATTTAAAAAATTCACCAAATATCAAATTATCATTATGATCATATGAAAAAATCATGTCATTTATTAATATTTTTAGTTTAATAGTTTAGAATAATTATAATTTTTTCCAATTCTAAATATTTATTGTTAGTAAAAGGTGGCAACACTACACTCTGAGAATAAACAGACAGTTCTTTATAGATCGTGCGAGAGTAAGTTGTGTCTCTTACTGCTGCTGTTTTGTTGTGCTGCAAATGTATTGTGTTTTTCATATTAAAAATCTGATTTTAATACCCACAATGTTGGCTACTAATGCTAAGAAATGCAGGCAATATTCACAGGAGTATTTGAAATATGTTTTGTGACATCGTTTGCTAATGAAACTATTCCTATGTGCTTATTATGTGAAAAAACTTTCAGCAATGATGATATGAAGCTGGCAAAAATGAAAGACCACATGGAAAGGATCCATTCTTATAAGAAAAACAAAGATTTTGAGTATTTCAAAATACTAAAAGAGAAATTGAGAGTTCGGCCAAATTTGAATACATATTTGAAATCATCCGCTAGTGTTGATAGAGAAGGAGGACTGAAGACATCCTACAGCATCTCTCTTAATATTGCAAAGAAAGGCAAACCGTATACTATTGGTGAAGAGATTATAATACCAGCTATAAAAGATATAATTGAAAATGTTATGAAGAAAGACTCTCAACTAATTTTAAAATGCATACCATTAAGTGCAAATACTGTGCAATAACGTATTGAGAAAATGGCCGATAACATAGAAAGAACTTTGACCTCCGAGCTCCAGCATTGTAAGTTTGCTATTCAACTCAACGAATAAACCTTCGGAAGTTCAAATCTTCTCATGGCTTATGTTAGGTTTCATAGCCCATCCCTGAATGACACTGTTGATGAATTTCTATTTGCTAAGTATCTTGAAACTGATTCAAAAGGTGAGACGACTTTTTTATGTTTGCAAGATTATTTGAACAAGCACAGCATTCCTTTTGGGAATATTACTACAGTAGCTATTGATGGTGCACCTGCACTATGGTAGGCCATTACAGAGGATTTTTCGTCTTTCTGAAGAAAAAGGTTCCTAAAGTACGTACTGTTTACTGTGTCCTACACTGGTAGCATCTTGTAGCCAATAAACTGAGTGGCAAACTTTATGATACTCTAAAAGTGTGCATCAGGTCAATAAATAAAATTAAAGCTCATTCTCTCAATATTCCAGACTGTTTGCGCAGTTATGTGAAGAAAATGATGAAACTTTCAACCAATTACTTTTGCACACTGAGGTAAGTTGGTTGTCAAGAGGTGATAGTTTGTAGAGGCTTGTTGACTCGTACGACTCAGCTGAAGAGTTTCTTAGGAATGTGGATCCATCACTATGTGACCAGTTAAAACAGTGCAAGAAGAATCTGTTCTATTTGGCAGACCTTTATTCAAAATTTAATATAGTACAGAAGTGTTTGCAAGGAAAAAAAGCGTTGCAATTGTTCAAGCTCAATCATAAATGGCCTTTCAAGTAAATTTAAATTCAATTCAAATCTTCACTAGCACGATCTGATTTTAAATATTTTTCAAACTCATGAATACTAAAAGTAGATGAAAAGATTTCCGACCGCAATTTGGAGATATATATTAAACATCTTGATAAATTAAGAGAAGACTTTAAAGCTCGTTTTGAAGACTTGGAGAATATGCACGTTCCCAAATGATTTGCTAATCCATTTGATGTAAAAATAGATAACGAAGGTAGTGAACCTGACTTAGAAGATGAACTGATTGAAATATGTGTAGATCTCGAAGCTAAAGCATTGTTTAAAAATAAAAACCTCAGTGAATTTTGGAGCAATAACAATATTGCCACTAAATATCCCAAGCTCAGAGCAGAAGCCGAACCTTTTTTACTCGCATTCCCAACTTCATATATGGTTGAAGCTGGTTTTAGCCATGCAAATGCAATTTTGACAAAACAGAGGAACAGATGAACTTGGAAAACTGTGGTGATTTTCAACTAAAACTTACCAATTTTCAACCGAATATCAATAATCTTGCTGCTTCTCTTCAGACACATCATCCCACTAATATCATCTATTTTAATAAAAAATATGTTAACATATTTTTAAGGTATTCAGTAGTAGTCGCAAAATGACAGTAAGAGGTTTTTTCATCCAGTATAACTTATGTTATGTTTTCAAAGATAATTGTGTATTTTATGTTTTATGACATGTACAGCTTAAGAATTATTGGCAAATTTCCATTTATCCATAATTTTGCTATTATTTTTTAAGATTATAAATCTGTGAAAATATCTCTTTTTTCTGTTAATGTTATTGGGTGGATTTTATAAGATATGGGAACTATAAATTCTTTCATTGGGTTGCTATGCAGGTCTCCTTATTGCTTAATGTCAGAAATGCAAAAAATGATTTAATGTTTTTGTTAAATACTTAATATGGGGGGGTTGATAAGAAGGCAAATATTCTATCAAGGGGTCGACGGGATAAAAAGTTTGGGGACCCCTATTTTAGCAACTGTTAACATGGACAAAATCCATAAAATGGAAGAATACTCACACAGTCATGTAGAAATAAAATTAAAACAAAAAAGAAATTGAAATATCAAGGAGGGCCACTCCACCTATAATTTTATTGTACATTTGTACAATTTCAGGGGAATTCACCTGAAAGAAGTCTTTTTGAGAATCACTCCATCA